AATGGAGACATCAATTAACTAAAGAATATCTAAAGAATTGCTGAAGTGGTGTTTACCCTTATTAACTCACTCACTCACTCACAGGACATATGGTGATCACCTGGTTCTCACGGTTGTATCAACAATCTTATGATAGAGGTCAGAATCTTTGATGTAAACGGAACAGTGACACAATTTCTCCCCAAAGAGATTCTAGTGATATATCTTGGCAACAATCCTGAAAATGAGGGGGAGCACTACATGAGTCCAAATCCACCTGATCAAATTAAGAGTAAAACGGTTACAATGGGCAAAGAGAGTGGTAGCACAGTTCAGGCCCACAGTGTGACAAGAAGTGTGTCCAGAGCAATGGGACAGTGAGAGAGAAAGTTGTCCAGAGCAATGGGACAGTGAGAGAGAAAGCGGTCCAAAGCAATGGGACAGTGAGAGAGAAAGGGGTCCAGAGCAATGGGACAGTGAGAGAGAAAGTTGTCCAGCAATGGGACAGTGAGAGATCAACAGTTCCAGAGAGCAATGGGACAGTGAGAGAGAAAGTTGTCCAGAACAATGGGACAGAGAGAGAAAACGGTTACAATGGGCAAAGAGAGTGGTAGAAAGTTGTCCAGAGCAATGGGACAGTGAGAAGGGTGTCCAGAGCAATGGGACAGTGAGAGAAAGTTGTCAGAGAGAGAAAGTTGTCCAGAGCAATGGGACAGTGAGAGAGAAAGTTGTCCAGAGCAATGGGACAGTGAGAGAGAAAGTGTCCAGAGCAATGGGACAGTGAGAAAGACAGAAGAGAGAAAGTTGTCCAGAGCAATGGGACAGTGAGAGAGAAAGTTGTCCAGAGCAATGGGACAGTGAGAGAAAGTTGTCCAGAGCAATGGGACAGTGAGAGAGAGAGGGATCCAGAGCAATGGGAGTGAGATGAGAAAGAGAAAGGTCCAGAGCAATGGGACAGTGAGAGAAAGTTCCAGAGCAATGAGACAGTGAGAGACAGTCCAGAGCAATGGGAGTGAGAGAAAGGGTCCAGAGCAATGGGACAGTGAGAAATCCAGAGCAATGCAGTGAGAGAGAAAGTTGTCGAACCCAGAGCAATACAGTGACAAGGGGTGAGTTAAGATTGAGATTGTCCAGAGCAATTACAGAGAAGTTGTCCAGAGCAATGCGAGAAATTGTAATTAATTCGAACCCCAATAAACAATGAGTTAAAATTGGATTTATTACAAGAATTATAAACGAAATTAAGAAGGATCAATAAGTGGTTTTCTTTAAAAACCCAATTCGGTAATCACAGATTATCAACAACGGAATGGACAGTTTGAAGGAAAGATCAAACCCAAAAGATCAAAGCTTCTTGAATAAGACATAATAAATATAACCCAAAATACCAGTTATGAAAACAACCAGTTGAAGAATGCAATTATTCCTTTAAAACTTTCTAAAATAGACTATGAGATCGATTAAAATATCCCTATATACAAGTAAATTATATGTTTATCGACTATGCTTACATGTATACTGAACGAGGTAAAATTTTGTAAAAAAATGTAATATGAAGTTTATGTTGTAAGAAACATTGAGATATCTTAGTTTTTGTAAATAAAGTCAATTTTTGCCAAATTTGTGAAAAAAATGGATTACGATTGCCACCCCAAATAGTCAACCCTGAAACTGGCTTTTACATATTAAGTTGAAAATTGTTTTTACATTTTGCGTTATATATTGTACTTTTTGCGTTAAAGACATCTTTTACATATTGCATTAATATCATATTGCGTTATTTTTGGCGTTTTGCATTAAGTTTTTACATATTGAGTTAGTTTTTACATATTGTCTTGATTTTACAAATTGGGATTGTACATCGTCTTGCTCCAAGCAAATGCTGAATGCAAAGCCCATGTATCTATAGTAATTCTATCCTTTAAAGAGGCAAGTCTAGCAAAGCGGAAGGAGGTTATTAGAGAGACAACATAGTCTTTTAATATTTTCTAGAAATAATCTTTTTATGCTAATAATTATTGCCTTAAAGACTTGTATAGGTTTATGGAGAGTGGATGGATGTACTCGGGTGTCCGGAGCTCTGCTTTAATTAATTACATGATCTAGGTGACATACGAGTGCTCTAACAATGTGTAGTATAATTAATTAGATCGTAACATCAAATTATATTAATAAATGATTTTGCCTCATTAGGAGAGTGGGGTAAAGCAAGGGTCGGATGCGGGGGTCGAGGGAGAAGAGGAGAAGATGGGGGCGGGAGGTGTGGCCTCCACGGTCTGGCAGGGCAGTAGTCTTTCTGTCTCACAGTCCTTGAACCACATTATGTTCCCTACTGCCCAGCCCTCCCTGCAATGCTAAAGCTGTAAATGAAGCAAGTCTAGATTTCCTAGGTTCAATCTCCCATCCCACAGGGCCTCCTTTTCAATTTAAATTGGTATATTTGTTGCTATCAGAATCAGCGTCATGAAATACACAATGCCATTCTAGAAAGTGGTCAAATATAGCATATGTTACAGAATAAGCATTAGTCTAGAGTCTGACTGACTGACTGACTGAGTTTGGTTTTACGCCGCTTTGAGCAATATTCCAGCAACATCACGGCGGGGGACACCAGAAATGGGCTTCACATCTAGAGTCTGTCATACAGACCCTCAAACAAATATTCCCAAGAAAGTCTAAATATGTGGCAAGTCTAGATTTCCTAGTCTAGCAGGGCAGACAAACGTCCACACCACAGAGCATGTTCTGGTGTTAGTCTCCTCTGTGAGTGATTTATTTTAGGCTCTGTTCAAATATCTGCCCAGTAAACTCATCCTCGGATGAATAGGCATCAGTATGCAACGCCATTGAGCATTTGGAAAACACTAGTACTGTGCTGTACAAAACACTGCCTGATGTGTATACAGAACTGTAGTGTAGTGTTTTGTTGTGATGTATCAGGCTTCTGGCTTGTTTTAGGTTGCAGAGGCTGTAATTACCCTCGCGTGTGAGGTAAAGTATTTAGTTTAATTTCTACAAAACGATACTTTGAGCACTGTCATTAGTCTTCAGCTGTACTATCACACAGCGCCAGCTACACGAGGATAAACTGTAACTCGTCCTTAGTAACGCGTGTAGGTCTATGGCAGTGTAACATATATATCGGCATTAACCTATTACTCACGTGGTCAAGCAATATTGCATAGGGGTGGGGCCGGGGGGAATATACCTTGTTCTAGATGTAACAACCCACCCCCAACCCCCAAAAACAACAAAACAACACGCATTACTGATTTTTAAGTACTCCGTCTTATACTGAAACACCCATACAACGAAGGTGGTGGGGCAGCATCGTGGTGTTCACACGTCTCGCCGAAGGTCGGGGTTCGATTCTCAACGTAGGTACAGTGGAGAGGACCCGTTTCTTGAATCACCCGTCCTGATATTGTTTAAATCTTGCTTTAAGCAATTTCCCATGTACTTATCGTATGAAGATTAAAATCGTGATATATGGTGGTATCATAGACAGACCGATATAGATCTTGCAGACAGATTATTGTCCTGTAGCAACATGTGTAAATAAAAATATAAATGAAGATACAACATTCTGCCGAGAGCGTCGTGGTGTATGCTCAACATGTTCTCCTCGTGTGCCTTTACTATCTCCCCATTGTACCATGTCCTAGATGTACCATGTCCTAGATGCACCTTGTCCTAGATGTACCATGTCCTAGATGTACCATGTCCTAGATGCACCTTGTCCTAGATGCACCATGTCCTAGATGTACCATGTCCTAGATGTACCATGTCCTAGATGTACCATGTCCTAGATGCACCTTGTCCTAGATGTACCATGTCCTAGATGTACCATGTCCTAGATGTACCATGTCCTAGATGTACCTTGTCCTTAATGTACCTTGTCCTAGATGTACCATGTCCTAGATGTACCATGTCCTAGATGTACCATGTCCTAGATGCACCTTGTCCTAAATGTACCTTGTCCTAGATGTACCATGTCCTAGATGTAACATGTCCTAGATGTACCATGTCCTAGATGCACCTTGTCCTAAATGTACCTTGTCCTAGATGTAACATGTCCTACATGTAACATGTCCTACATGTAACATTTCCTACATGTACCATGTCCTAGATGTACCATGTCCTAGATGCACCAGGTCCTAAATGTACCTTGTTCTAGATGTAACATGTTCTATATGTAACATGTCCTACATGTATCTTGTCTTACATGTACCATGTCCTAGTTGTACCGTGTCCTAGATGTACCATGTCCTAGATGTAACATGTCCAAGATGTACCATGTCCTAGATGCACCTTGTCCTAAATGTACCTTGTCCTAGATGTAACATGTCCTACATGTAACATGTCCTACATGTACCATGTCCTAGATGTACCATGTCCTAGATGCACCAGGTCCTAAATGTACCTTGTTCTAGATGTAACATGTTCTATATGTAACATGTCCTTCATGTATCTTGTCTTACATGTACCATGTCCTAGATGTACCGTGTCCTAGATGTAACATGTTCTATATGTAACATGTCCTAGATGTACCAAGTCCTAGATGTACCATGTACTAGATGTAACATGTCCTCAAGGTACCATATAATATATATTCAAGATGTACCGTATCCTAAATATACTGCACCCTCTATGTTCCATGCCCTCTGTGTACAGTTATTTCCTCAATGCCATATTCACACAACCCCCTCCTGCACACGTCAAACAAGATGCCTCATTATTTCTGTCTGCAGAGAACCCAAGTCTTGGACAGTAGTGCTGTAACAGGATACTATAATATTTTGCCCAGGTGAGGCTTATACTTCCACGCTAGTATTGCAGCTCCTGTAGGCACGGAGAGTCGCCTCAGTTTGTCGAGGTAAGATCACATCTCAGCTTCCTAGGATTCCCCTCTTCCAGCCATCCCCAGGTTTACCTGACTCCACCTGTGTGGCGGTATCGGTCAAGTGGTCACGTGGTCGCACAGTATCTAGAAAAGGAGACATCTAGCTGGCTTCGTGCGAGCTATGGCAATTTGCACAGATCAACACATATTAGATAAATTCGCTGCTTATGACGAGCACGTGTTGAGAGCAACCATCGACTGACAGACACAGCGGGAATCCTAACGCATGGATGTTTTTTCTGCATAAAAGTGGTTGAATTTGAATGGGATACTTCATTAATCGTTAGTGTCTGCAACAAGCGATCCATGGTATGTGCATAAATGCTTTGGGGATTTTGTTTATTGCTGTTTGCTGCCACGCTGGATAAGTCCTTGTGCAGATGGTAGTGTAGAGTTGTTAGGAGCGTGTGTGGTTACAGCAGTCTGTCTTCCGAGAGTGTCACGATGTACAGGCAGAGTGGCAGCTGGTACGGCCTGCTTTCCCGTATGCTGCGTTAACGGACGACCACAATGAAAGAGCAATTACATGGTTTTCGGCAAACCGTCATCGAATACTGAACTGGAAAGAAGACGGTGACCTTGGCGCATAGGTTAGCGGTGGAACCTGAGGTCAGAGGTCAATACGTAGTCAAGTGTTTGGCCCTGTGAAGAGCGGACGGACATCAATGGCTTGAAAACAACGAGTTAAGGTTGTTGAGTAAACGGTTGAGGAAACCTTTGATATATTTGCTTATATCACTTAAGACACTCTTTCAGCGGTGGTGCTGAGGCAGCGGAAGAACCCTGTTCACATCCTGAACAGGAAGAATACCATAGACCGACATCCGAACACAACAAATAACCCATGGATTAGATACAGCGTGAAGAGGGCGTTTGATCTCGGGAGGGCACCTGTTGCAGTCAAACACAGCAGGTCAAACAGACAGGGAAACGAGTGCAATGAAACATAGGAAGAATTACCACCACGTTCCGGACTTCAAAGGCTGTGGTCCAGATTGGATGTGCTTATTCGAGGCTTGACCTTCACCTTTGACAGAAACAGCGTCAACGTCCAGCCATGTTTGCAGCGGCGTCACCGGGTGGACTGTCCTGTTCGCCTGGCGACATGTCTCTCCAGGTAAGATCAGACTCAGGTTGAGGGGGTACCAGTGTCACATATACGGAAAATATGAAACCCTCAGAGTCTCTCTTTATATCAGTAAAAGAGATTCAGGCATAATTGTTGCGTTTTATGTCTATTTGTATGAACTGGAGGCATGTAGGTCATGTTGTTTTGTTGAAGTATTTGTCAACGTTACACTGGAAGTGTAGATGCAGAGCATGCTCCGCGCCACGAAGACCAGTCTGGGGTTTATGCCTGTAGAGTTGGTTGTTGATGATGAACACCAGGGTTGTAATGTGTAATGGGGCTCGCTGTGTGATAACGTACCCTGGCAGTGGGGGATTCGCTCATGCTGTCTACCACTGGTTTGCTTAATCTGGATTTCAGGTTTCAGATTTCGACTCGGTTTTAAGCAACATTTTCTTACTCATGTCAGAATATATGATTACATGTGCTGGTTTGATACTAGTGACGTCAAGATGAGCTTGTGGGACCACGTGGCTGACTACAATAGCTGAAAGCAGCACACGGGGAGTATAGTTTGAAAGAATAATGAGGCAAACCAAGTTATTTAGCCGTAAAAATGTTATTATCTATTGCTTAGGGGGCCTGCCAACATCCATATGCCATGTGGCGAAAGTTAACAGTCGAGTTAAGGAGTGCGAGGAATAGTTAGACGTATTACAGTCCCACGGTGATATCTTGTGTAGATATACTATAGTATCAGGGTGATATCTCGTGTAGATATACTATAGTATCAGGGTGATATCTTGTGTAGATATACTATAGTCTCAGGGTGATATCTTGTGTATATATACTATAGTATCAGGGTGATATCATGTGTAGATATACTATAGTCTCAGGGTGATATCTTGTGTAGATATACTATAGTATCAGGGTGATATCTTGTGTAGATATACTATAGTCTCAGGGTGATATCTTTTGTAGATATACTATAGTCTCAGGGTGATATCTTGTGTATATATACTATAGTATCGGGTGATATCATGTGTAGATATACTATACTCTCAGGGTGATATCTTGTGTAGATATACTATAGTATCAGGGTGGTATCTTGTGTAGTTATACTATAGTATCAGGGTGATATCTTGTGTATATATACTATACTCTCAGGTTGATATCTTGTGTAGATATACTATACTCAGGGTGATATCTTGTGTAGATATACTATAGTATCAGGGTGGTATCTTGTGTAGATATACTATACTCTCAGGGTGATATCTTGTGTAGATATACTATACTCAGGGTGATATCTTGTGTAGATATACTATAGTATCAGGGTGATATCTTGTGTAGATATACTATACTCTCAGGGTGATATCCTGTGTATATATGTCATATTATCGGGGTGATATCCTGTGTATATATACTATAGTATCAGGGTGATATCTTGTGTAGATATACTATAGTATCAAGGTGATATCTTGTGTAGATATACTATAGTCTCAGGGTGATATCTTGTGTAGATATACTATAGTATCGGGGTGATATCATGTGTATATACAACAGTCCCGCTGTGATATCTTGAGTACATATACTACAGTATGAGCGTGATATCCTGTGTATATATACTATAGTCTCAGGGTGATATCCTGTGTATATTTGTCATAGTATCGGGGTGATATAGTATCAGGGTGATATCACAAGTGTATATATGTGGCAAGTCTAGATTTCCTCAGCTTCAGGAAGGTCTCAGGGCTCCTTTTCATTATATTTTATATTTTTTTACTATGAACTTTTTTCAGTAAAATATGTTCATTTCAGAGACTAGTTGTTAGTCTAGGTGATATCCTGTGTATATACTACAGTCCCGCGGTGATATCTTGTGTACATATACTACAGTATGAGGGTGATATCTTGTGCCCTACGGTCCTAAGGGTTATCTTGACTATACATTGACATTCCAGAGTGATATCTAGTGTATATACTACACCCAGTATGATATCTTCAGTATATACTTCAAATTCTAGAGTGATATCCTGAATATGTACTGCAGTCCCATGGTGACACTTTGAATATATTCTACAGTCCCAATGTGATCTTGAACATATATGACACACAGAATGATATCTTTAGTCTATATATAAGTTCCAAGGTGCTATGTTAAGTGTGAAGATGATTCCTTGAGTTCATTTTAGCTTTCACGAAATAGCTTGGCGGAATGTGTACATATTACAGCTTTGAAGATGAAATCTGGAGTACATAGTATGTTTTGAAGATGAGAGCTTGAATACGTATCGCCTTTCCATGCGTTTTAAACATGCTATCTTGACCATGCAGTATTGCTTGAAGGTGATATCGAGAGTACGAATTGGAGTTTGATAGACAGCGTGATATCTTGATATCTTACCTATTACAGTTTGAAGATTATGACATTTTAGCAGGTATTACAGTTTCTGTACATTGTTTTGAGTAGGTATTACGGTATGATATCTCAAGTAGCTAGTACAGTTTGAAGATGGTATCTTAAGTACGTATTACAACAGTTTAAAGATAATATCGAGGGTATCAGTCCGTCATTCACGAGCTGGAGGTAACCAACATCATCAATCAAAACATAATATGCTAGATGTACTTGGTGCTATCAATGTCCTCAATGCTTAAAGATGTTCGGATTGAAAAAAATGAAGCTCCCTTTTCATTACCTTACATTGTAAGAAAATTGTATGCGTATGTGGCTAAACATAAAATATGTTTTTAACAATGAGAAGTGCAAGTCTCTTTAAGTGACATTTAGAAGCTACTGTGGTGAGGAACACCATTTTTTATGGCTAGACAACGTCTTCATTGTAATAGGTGCGAAGTTTCGGTTTAGATGCTAACACCGTCAATTGCATTTTATTGTACCTGCTTGGTAACGGTGTTAGCATCTACACCGAAACGTCGCATCTACTGCAATAAAATTGTATATCATAAAATGGTTCCTCTTCAGAAGTGCAGGGTCAGCAATCGTTATAATGGTATAGGTAAGTAGGGTTTCCAGAGTATGGAAGGTGGCATTTCCGAGACATGTCACACACAAAGGTTATGACAAAGATCATTGCTGAAAGTTTAATAAGGACACCAGTAGTAGACCACAACCTGACATTTACTTTATAAACAATCCACAACCAGCATCACATAGTCACGTGGGTTGTTAAATAATCCTTGTGTTTCTGCTTCAGGAGTATATATAAACAGTATATGTATGTACGTATATGTATGTATGTGTGTGTGCATGTGTGTGTGTATGTATGCATGCATGCATGTGTGTGTGTATGTATGTATGTATGTATGTATGTATGTGTGACTTAATTTGTCGCTGTTATCTGGGCGTGGTTGTGTTCTGTTTCATTCTCTCTTCCTTTTCTTAAACAATGTATCATCTGGCGAGGAAACACTATCACATACACGCTCACCGTTGTATCTGAGTTTATGTACATGTTTAAATTTAGCGATTGTTTGAGTTGGATGTTAAAGTGGAACGCGAACAGATGCAAGCATGATACTTACAATATGCTCTCACAATATGTCTCATTTTGAAAGTCCTTTTTTCTGAACTGAAGGTCAGATGGGCAAAGGAAGAGTTGAAAATACAAAAGGCAATGGTTTCAGTCGATCTTTTTGTCCTTTTGATAATGCCTAATATGCAAAAGTAAATTTATTTGATTTATGAAGTGATTGTCAAACAATGAATTTTATTATCATGTACAAAATTAAAAAACTTAAATTTCTGTATACATACAATCGGTTTTTGATCTTGATTATATAAATTTTCACACATTAATGTCTGATCATAGCAAGTGCAAGGTTTTTACACATTTTTCTGAATTTTCCACAATATACGACCGTTACATGCAATTCACACACAAAATGCCGTTCAATAACCAGGATGACAAAACCCTATTGAGCACACTTCCACTCAGTATGTCAAAGACAATGATTACACCTCACTTGTACAAATGACAGACATATTTAATCCTGTGATCCCCAACTATGCTCCACTTAGGCCCTAGGGTCAGAGTGTCCATGCATATATATGATAAACATGGTTAAACATAGTTAACAGGAATATATCATTTCCGGGGGCTCCCTGAAGAACAACTTCTGCAGAAAAGCCAGCGAACAAATCAAGTTTCGCTGGAGAATATTGGTACTAACATTCACGTTGTATGTTCACTAGGTCTATCACTGTAATCGCTAAAATAGATACATTGATAGTGCATAGGTCGTGGTTAAGCAAGAGTGAGTGAGTATGGTTTTATGCGCTTTTAGCAATATTCCAGCAACATCACGGCTGGGACACCAGAAATGGGCTTCACACATTGTACACATGTGGGGAATTGAACCCGGGTCTTCAGCGTGACGAGCGAACGCTTTAAGCACTAGACTACCCCCATTGCCCTGTTTATACAAGACTATTATGCCATTGTAAGTCTGTTACGTTCTGTAGAGGTAACGTACCCGTATTCTGGGTTTATTTTACTCAAACCGTGAAAGTATCGTTATGGAGGAAACTATGATGGATATCATTTGTCCAATATACCTAAATGTCCAATATACCTAAATGTCCAATATACCTAAATGTCCAATATATCTAATTGTGTTGGTGGATCAATGACTGACCTTGCACCACGTGGTGTAAGTCTTCTACCTACAAGAGCGTGACTAAAGGTCGGGCTTTCAGCTAGTCGTGCCATCGCCTCACCGACCACGTTGACGATGAAGAATCATCGTACGATTTCATGTATGTGTGCAAGTGACAGGGCCAGTATTTACACCTATAATATTGGCCATTCGTCACAGTTATGCTGGGGCGGTGGGGTACTCTAGTGGTTAAAGCGTTCGCTCGTCACGCCGAAGACGTGATATTGCTGGAATATTGCGAAAAGCAGCGTAAAACCATACTCACTCACTCACAGTTATGCTGATGTGTTTGTAAATTTAAACTTTAAAACTCTAAGCATTTGATATAAGGAAAAAACATTTAATCAGCATGTATATATCATTTTTCC